CAGTAGATCGGGGTTAATGAGAGAGTCAGACCGGTGTTTAGGGACAGAGTCATACGAAGGGTGCGACGGGGTCCGTCGACTCAGAAGTGTTGTGTTGTTTCCTCTTTGTCGCAGTTAAGACACACTGGTGAGTCCGCAAGGCGCCGAAGGTGCAGAACATTGTATTTCAATACTGCTTTAATACTTTTAGATGAGCAAACCAATGACATAGTCCGTTTCAAATCAAACGGACTACGCTATTGGTTTAACACATCTCTGTAAGCAAAGTCTTCAGATATCAATTTAAAATATTATAACGTGTTCACATACTATTAAAATTATATTGCTGAAAAAATTAAATTTATATTATTTTAATTGACAATAGTGTCGTCATTTTATGCAAAAAATTTAAACATTAAATGGAATTTATACGAGCCGCAGCATCGGGTGTTGAAAACGATAGTACTTTAACTGAAGTCGAAATCACTCAGATATTCTTGTGTTTATTACTTTTTAAATTATATTAAATAGGTATGCTTACTTTCTTATATTATAAAAAAATGTAAGTATTTAATTTAGTCATTTATAATTAAACTACAGTTTGCCAGAAAATGATGAGCGATTCTCACTTAAACAACACTTGTTCAATGAATGGCAGTTTGGAAAGTGAAGACAATGAGGATGGTAGTAAGTTAATTATAATTAACTATAACGATGTTTACATAATTAAATTTTTGCTTAACTTTATTTCTTCATACTTGAATGTAAATCAAGTTTTATACACAATTATCGTAGCATATTAGCTCTTGCTTTTATTTTGTTTTATATCTGAGAATTAGTTTGCTGGATGGTCTTTAATCTTCTCTCATAACAAATAGCAGATAAGACTTGGATAAATAGTAATTATCCATACAGCTATACGATTCTCATTATAGACTACGCGTAGCTCAATATAGTTCCATTACTGTAGTAAATTTAGTATATGGCTACCAACGTGATTGTTATCGATGTTATGTAACATTAACTAGTTGAAACATAACATAGAGGAAACTATAGATATTAATTAATCCAGTCTATCAATTGAAGTAACATGTCTGAAACTGAGGACCCATGCTTACGAGATAATAATAAGTAATTTCTTTTTCAGATGTTTTTGTAACTTTACCAACACGGCAATGTGTAATTTGTGGTAAAGTTGCAAAAACAAACATTTATGGAGCGTACACCTGCGTTTCTTGTGCGGTGTTTTTTGGCAGACACGTAAGACTAGAAAAAGAAATAATTACTTGCGTAACTGTGCGTGGAAACTGTTCGACAATCAGAAGGAGAAATATTATCACATGCGACTTCTGCCGCTTCAGCAAGTGTCACGACGCCAATCTGAGGCACGAAATAATCACAAGTAAGTTGCGCTATTGTCTTAAATTACAAAAATACAATGTTTATAATAATCATAACACGAAACAATTTACTAGGTTCTCCACGCTTTGTATTACCGTCACCTCAAATAGAAGACGAACGGGTAAGTGACGCACAATCATTATGGAATTTCAAAATTTGTTTTGATAGTACAAGATACTACTTCATAAAATGTTAACACTAATATGAATACAACATGTGCCGGATTTATGTTGGCACGTTTTCCTTTTGATTAGTCAGTTATCATGTGCAAGAAGTCACGACCCAATTGTGCGGGTCTCAAAAAGTACTGCCCCACTAACACTACTGCAGTGAATGCGTATTTTCATACAGGTGTTATCTTTCTAAACCACTCGCTGTATTTGTAATCTAAAGATTCTTTTAGTGGTTGCATGGACTCCAGATATAATTTTAAAATGATTATTACCACGTAGTGATTTTTGAGCTGAAGTTATTTTTATTTGTAAAAATAAAGTCTTATGTTACTGTATTAATTCTTTATGAATATATGGTAGCCCAAACTCAGTTAACCAGTGTAAAGATCATGTTGTCGTTTTTATTTACGTACTTTACATTTTTTTTTCATATAAAGTTGTAGAGATTTTGAGATCTTCTTGTTTCATATAAATATTACAGCGTTGACACTGGCAAAATGGATTTAAAACACTGAAAATTTGTAATTGGTCGTAAGAGCGAACCTTTCCAATAATCTGTTTACGTCTAGTGTTTATTCTAAATTTTGCTCACGTATGTGACATCTAAAATAAAGACCATCTTTTCATATTTTAAAAGGATCATATATATAAAATCTCGTGAGGCACTTCCCCCATGGCAAATTGCTCAAGTGTTACGTTGTCTTTTGACAGCTTACAAATTTGTTGTGGTTTTTATTTTTCTTGTAAATACTGCTTGCAAAAAACGGTCAACTGACTTTTGAACAAATATGCATTAAAATTAAATTAATGAGTTTTAGAAAATATTCATTTTTTGTAATATTTTTTTATAAGGATCTTTTTTTTACAGTAAAATTAATTTTAATATTCTAGATCTTCCTGAACTATTCCAGAACATTTACTAAATGTTTGAAATATATGGAACAATACTACTACAAGTGGTTAAATTCTTTTCCATCTTTTCGCCTGTTAAGTGAAGAAAGAAAGGTAAATAGTGTTTGTTTTCTTTCCTAGCGTTATATACCATGAATAAAGATGTATGTTAATAATGTTTCCAATGAGAAAAATTCATGGGCACATTTAGTTAATTTTCTTTTTCTGCTGTAATACTTAATGTCGTGAATAGCTTTCTCTTTAGTTAGCTGAAAACTTATTCAGTGCGACTGAACTGATTTTTAAGTGTTCGGCAAACTAATGAACAGAAGTAATGAAAAATATAGCAAGAATATAAAGTTTTATCTGAAGTATAAGCAACAAAAGTTTGCTTCATAATTCTTTGAATAGAGTTTTCTGTATAAGGGACCATTCAAGTATTACGACAACAGTTATGGGGAGGGTAGAATTTGATTGTGTTTGAAACTTTTAACGCACGATTGCACCCATGATGTAATTATTTTTGTCCTCGGTCATCACAAAACTACGTGGAAAAAACAAGTAAATATGTAAGAAATAAACGTTTGGTGACATAATTAAAGGTGGTAGTACCTTTTTTAAATTGCTTGTTTTTTTTCCGATTTTAACATTAATATTTACTTTTTTGTAGAAAGACATAAGGTTGAAGACACACGAAAGAGGAGCTGTCATGCAACTTGTAGAGAGATCTCTTAACGTTTTTCAAATGCTTAGATTGCACAATTGTTTTATTTATATTGGTTGGCAATCACTTGAAGATTTTATAATTATAATAAAGGACATACAGGAGCTAAGAGATCACGTAAACGACATAATAACCCATTCTTTTCCAAGACATTTAACTACAGTGGAAGCGTATAACATTTTAAAACTCGATCTGATACTGCAAGATGGTATTACTTCGTTTTAATTAATGCTAATTTCCTTTAGATGATTTATATAATGTGTGATTTATGTTTTAGATGTGTTGATTACTGATAAACATTTGGAGGTAACTGACCTTCATGATTTCTTACAAAACATTATAGAAAATTTAATGGACTTCATGACAGACATGCTCGAAGAATTCGAAACTGAAGAAAATTTTGAACAGATTGAATCATTAAGGTGAGGAATTATTTTCTTTTTAGGTTTTCACAAAGCTGACTTGTTAATGCTATAAATCTTATGAATTTTTCAGCTTATTTGACTATTCTTCAGACATTCCCGAAGATAATTATCCTTACAATCAATTACGCTTTGTGCCTTGAACTATAAGGTGTTAACATCAACACACTTACTAAAACACCTTTTCTTGCAGCCGACGCTTTATTATAACAACTTTCAAACGTTTTCGGTCTTGTTAAAAGACCTTTCTCAAGAAAATAAAATTAACTAAGTAACAAAATAAACACCACAATCGTAAATCGAACGCTTAGTACGAATAACTGTTTTTCTTTATTATAACAACTTTCAAACGTTTTCGGTCTTGTTAAAAGACCTTTCTCAAGAAAATAAAATTAACTAAGTAACAAAATAAACACCACAATCGTAAATCGAACGCTTAGTACGAATAACTGTTTTTCTTTATTATAACAACTTTCAAACGTTTTCGGTCTTGTTAAAAGACCTTTCTCAAGAAAATAAAATTAACTAAGTAACAAAATAAACACCACAATCGTAAATCGAACGCTTAGTACGAATAACTGTTTTTCTTTATTATAACAACTTTCAAACGTTTTCGGTCTTGTTAAAAGACCTTTCTCAAGAAAATAAAATTAACTAAGTAACAAAATAAACACCACAATCGTAAATCGAACGCTTAGTACGAATAACTGTTTTTCTTTATTATAACAACTTTCAAACGTTTTCGGTCTTGTTAAAAGACCTTTCTCAAGAAAATAAAATTAACTAAGTAACAAAATAAACACCACAATCGTAAATCGAACGCTTAGTACGAATAACTGTTTTTCTTTATTATAACAACTTTCAAACGTTTTCGGTCTTGTTAAAAGACCTTTCTCAAGAAAATAAAATTAACTAAGTAACAAAATAAACACCACAATCGTAAATCGAACGCTTAGTACGAATAACTGTTTTTCTTTATTATAACAACTTTCAAACGTTTTCGGTCTTGTTAAAAGACCTTTCTCAAGAAAATAAAATTAACTAAGTAACAAAATAAACACCACAATCGTAAATCGAACGCTTAGTACGAATAACTGTTTTTCTTTATTATAACAACTTTCAAACGTTTTCGGTCTTGTTAAAAGACCTTTCTCAAGAAAATAAAATTAACTAAGTAACAAAATAAACACCACAATCGTAAATCGAACGCTTAGTACGAATAACTGTTTTTCTTTATTATAACAACTTTCAAACGTTTTCGGTCTTGTTAAAAGACCTTTCTCAAGAAAATAAAATTAACTAAGTAACAAAATAAACACCACAATCGTAAATCGAACGCTTAGTACGAATAACTGTTTTTCTTTATTATAACAACTTTCAAACGTTTTCGGTCTTGTTAAAAGACCTTTCTCAAGAAAATAAAATTAACTAAGTAACAAAATAAACACCACAATCGTAAATCGAACGCTTAGTACGAATAACTGTTTTTCTTTATTATAACAACTTTCAAACGTTTTCGGTCTTGTTAAAAGACCTTTCTCAAGAAAATAAAATTAACTAAGTAACAAAATAAACACCACAATCGTAAATCGAACGCTTAGTACGAATAACTGTTTTTCTTTATTATAACAACTTTCAAACGTTTTCGGTCTTGTTAAAAGACCTTTCTCAAGAAAATAAAATTAACTAAGTAACAAAATAAACACCACAATCGTAAATCGAACGCTTAGTACGAATAACTGTTTTTCTTTATTATAACAACTTTCAAACGTTTTCGGTCTTGTTAAAAGACCTTTCTCAAGAAAATAAAATTAACTAAGTAACAAAATAAACACCACAATCGTAAATCGAACGCTTAGTACGAATAACTGTTTTTCTTTATTATAACAACTTTCAAACGTTTTCGGTCTTGTTAAAAGACCTTTCTCAAGAAAATAAAATTAACTAAGTAACAAAATAAACACCACAATCGTAAATCGAACGCTTAGTACGAATAACTGTTTTTCTTTATTATAACAACTTTCAAACGTTTTCGGTCTTGTTAAAAGACCTTTCTCAAGAAAATAAAATTAACTAAGTAACAAAATAAACACCACAATCGTAAATCGAACGCTTAGTACGAATAACTGTTTTTCTTTATTATAACAACTTTCAAACGTTTTCGGTCTTGTTAAAAGACCTTTCTCAAGAAAATAAAATTAACTAAGTAACAAAATAAACACCACAATCGTAAATCGAACGCTTAGTACGAATAACTGTTTTTCTTTATTATAACAACTTTCAAACGTTTTCGGTCTTGTTAAAAGACCTTTCTCAAGAAAATAAAATTAACTAAGTAACAAAATAAACACCACAATCGTAAATCGAACGCTTAGTACGAATAACTGTTTTTCTTTATTATAACAACTTTCAAACGTTTTCGGTCTTGTTAAAAGACCTTTCTCAAGAAAATAAAATTAACTAAGTAACAAAATAAACACCACAATCGTAAATCGAACGCTTAGTACGAATAACTGTTTTTCTTTATTATAACAACTTTCAAACGTTTTCGGTCTTGTTAAAAGACCTTTCTCAAGAAAATAAAATTAACTAAGTAACAAAATAAACACCACAATCGTAAATCGAACGCTTAGTACGAATAACTGTTTTTCTTTATTATAACAACTTTCAAACGTTTTCGGTCTTGTTAAAAGACCTTTCTCAAGAAAATAAAATTAACTAAGTAACAAAATAAACACCACAATCGTAAATCGAACGCTTAGTACGAATAACTGTTTTTCTTTATTATAACAACTTTCAAACGTTTTCGGTCTTGTTAAAAGACCTTTCTCAAGAAAATAAAATTAACTAAGTAACAAAATAAACACCACAATCGTAAATCGANAATCGAAAATAAAATAAATCAAAACGTTTTTGATATACTTTAATACAAACATATAATAAGTTATTCGTTTGTTAAGAAATAAATCATTTGTAACATTTATAAAAGAATAAAATATCTTTATAATGACGTGAATGAAACACGACGCCAACCAGTCACGTGAACAGAACTTCCCCTACGTCAGGCCATTAACGTTTAAATGTCTAATTTAAAAGGACAAAGGAAATTCCAAACAAACTGTTATAATTTTAAAACTTTCTGAAATAACATGAAAGTTTTAATTTAATAATACTCTAAAATAAAAACATATTAAATAAAATATATAAATGAATTTAATACAAATAAAATAAATAAATAAAACTTATAATATTGCTAAAAACCTGCAACTTATATATTATTAATATCTACTGATTAATTAAATAAACTAATTATACATTATAATAAACCTTATGTATACGAAAGAATTTACGTATATGTAAATACGTACGTAAAGTGGCAGCACTGTCGATTTGATAGTTCCACAACAAAGAACCGTTAAAATAATAACTTAAAATTGAAATTAAAACAATTTACGACAAATATAATATACTAATACTTAAATATCATAAAGAAACAATAGTATACTATCAAATAGTACATTAATGTGACTTAAAATTAAATTAAATTAGATAAAATTGCAATTAATTTAGAAGTCGATACTGTAAGCGAGAAAATACGAATTTTTTTTAGAAAAACTACAAAATACAAATAAATAAAAAATATACCAAATAAAACTACACATACTTGCGCATTTGCATTATTTTTTTCATATTTCTATTATAAAAATTTGATTTTATACGAATTTTTTAAGAATTTTAGTGGATTGACCTTGACGACCTTCTCATTAGGGTGCTCTCTCAGAACAGGTTTGCTCTCACCGGCGTGTTTTCACGCCGGCGAGTATAAGAGGGTTTACACACAGGTTGGCTGGTTGGAGCTTTTTGGCGCTACAGCCATATAGGCGAAGTTGTATATATCATGTCAAGAGATAAAGGATCTGTTTGGGAACTCGTTCCCAAACAGAACCTCTCAGAGCACCACTTAAATTTTGAAATTATGTTGGACCATTATGTAATTATCATCTTACTTTTCCGGCTGTTGTAACATAACACGGCTTACATTTCCTGCTGTTATCATATAATAGTGTAACGGTGTCACATTTGACAATGTGGATTTTGGAATCGCTATTTTTTTACACCTCTGAACTGATAAAGATGCCTGGAATGTGTCTGTGTGGTTTGTTTAGTTGTATATATCGGGATGGGTTAAGTACTAAGAAACGAAATTTTGGTACAGTAACTTATGTATAAGGGGCAACGATGCTATTAAATTGTGGTTAATGGTCGAAGGATTGGGGAAATATAAGACATAAGGAATCAATAATCGTAGCTCGTGATAGCAATTACGCGGGCGATTTAAGAGTGCTCGGGGTGCAGCTACAAATCCCCTTTCTGAGAGTTCGGGTAATTTCCCCATTCGAGTAATGTCAAGTACTTCTGTTAGTAAAAAGTTTCTTAAGGCACAAGGTGTGTATCCTTTAGGAATTCATTGTAAAATGTTTTAGATTCGCTGGTCTCTAGCTGGCAAGATTAACAGGGTAGATACCCTGTTAATTATTATTACATTTAACCGTCTAGATGATTAGTGATAATATGTCTATTGTTTTAAACTGTTGTGCGGAAATCTGGGCAAAATCTTAATTTAAAAAATTAATAATACGCTATATGCTAGGTTTGAATTACTGTTTTGTTTTACGAGCATATGACAGCATGTAGTTAGGAAAACTTGATCAACTGCGTGTTGTTATAGTCAGTAGTGTAACTTCATCTAGCGAGAGAGAATATTTTCCTCTGGTCATAACTCTTTTACGGGATTTCACTAGGCTGTTTGAACACACGTAACTAACGGCTAGAATATGTGACTGGTCTGTATGCAAGAGCTAACGAATAATTATTGGTTACCACCTCTAAGTAGTAGTACTTTGGGCCATACTGATCACAAAATTAATTTTCTAATTACAAATTTAAATTAAATTAATTTAATTTTAACAATAAGACAAAGTTTCTGTATTAATTATTAAATGTTTTAATAGCCGAGAAAATTAAAACATGAGAATTGCATGAAATAATATTTTTATATTACCAAAAGAAAATTATTTCTGTAATTTTTTTTTATTTTTACATAAATAAAATAAACTAATTTAATCTATTAAAGCTTTTCTAGTTTTTCATTCACTTTATCTAAAACATGACATATTCCTGGTCTAATTT